TAGTGCCCTAGCCATAGAAGAAGAAATCAGAGGAGGGGATGCAATCAGAGAAGTCGCCCAAAATCATGGTGGCTGTTAATAATTCCATTAGAAATCAACAAAAGCTTCAATTACTTCTCCTCTGCTGTCTCCAACGAAAAACATGAAAGTCCATTTTTGTCCTTTCTTTGTCCTTCATTTTTTATTCGATAAGCTCATCTAAATTTGCTTACAGGTGGTTTCGGATCCAAAGCCTCCACGAGCTCTAGATCTTGCCTCTCCTCTTGAAACCCTAACCCTAGAATCAGTTTTATCTTTTATCAAATTTTTGGCAGGACAAGTTCAGGATCTTCCTTTAAAGCGGGGATTGAACCCCAGATACTGTTTTTTCTTGATCAATCTTGTTCAAGCTTGGTTTTCCATTTTGGTTTGGTTTGGTTTGGGGTGGTCCAGCAAAAGATGTCTCGGTGCTTTCCGTATCCTCTTCCAGGGTACGTGAAGAACGACATCCGTGATGAGGCACTAATTGAATCAGTTAAGGTTTGTTGAGCATCCATGGCTCCAATGCTATGTTGAGTTTTAAGCGTTTTTGCTCGACTACTTTATTCGGTTGCCAAATAGCTTGCTTTAGATTGTGATCTACCCTAAACATAAGAAAAGAGTGCCGGGTGTTAAAGATCTGGAAGCTAATGGATGGGATTGGAAATGGTTTTTGAAGTTGGAATTTCATGCTTGAGTTGGGTATTAAGATGAATTATTATGTGAAACTTGAAATTTTATGTTTCAAAACTGTTTGGGTAATGGGTTTTTGAGACTGAAGAGTGGAAGTATACCGATTAAAAGAAAAAATTGCTAATTGGCACTAATAGTACATCTATAGCTAGTGTAAGTTTGTATTAAGACATTACTTTGAGTGGAGTGGATGAGTATGTTGATTGTTATTTATGCTTTTCTGCAAAATGGTATAGAATTGCAAATATGATATATCAAAAGAAATTATATGACATATGCAATTCTTTTACTGAATCTGCTTCTAAATTTAGAACTGAATTTTTATTAGTTTGTTATGCTGGTTGTTGCTATGCTATTGTCATGGCAATACCGTGTCATTTTGACCATGTTGTCTTGCACTATAACTTGGCTTTTCTGGTTTTAGTTGGTTCTTACTAAATTTGCTTACAGATTGCCATCACTCAAGATGTTTAATGCATGCGACAAAAACAAAGAGTAATCTCGGTTTTATTTTGGCAATTTCTACATTTTATTTGCTCTAATTTTAGTTCATTTATTTTCATGCTTTGCTACATGCTGCCAAAAAGTAAACAATGTTTCTTTATTTTTAGTGGAATCAATGTTTTCTTGTTGATATATTTGTGAAGTTTACTTATTTTTCTCTCATGTGTCATGTGTGCATCCTGTTCTTGTGGTTTCAAACGTATGAAAAGCATCAAATTGCCCTGTTGACTCTTTTTTTTTCTTTAAAGGCTAGGCTTGTGAGTATTGGTTGCTCAAGAACTTTGAGTTTGGCATGGAGATTGGTTTGTTCACTCTGCACTTTTTCTACTTTGTTCCGTTTACTTGATTTTGTTCGGAATTATTATATTATGGCTATTACTTTGTTCAACTTACCCTGACTGCTTGGAGAAAATGCTTTTGATATTTCTTGTCTCATTTCATTGTCATGTGGATCTTTGTAGGATTGATGAATGGATTGATCTTACCATCTTGCAAACTACTTAGAGTGTGTTGACTCGTCCATCTTAAAGTAGATTATTTCTTTCTGAGGTTATTCTATTACCTGTTATCATATTATCTTTTGTTTAGACTTTCCTTTAGTTCCTTTCATTTAGAGTAGATTTAGATTGCGTTGGTTTTTTTTTTTTAACTTTATTTCTCTTTTCAAATATTTTGATATGTTTATGAATTTTGTGCTTAATATCACCATTGTTTGTGATTGCCATGGACAAATTAAATAAAACTAATTCACTTATTACATTTTATGCAGTGATTGTTTTGAGCTTTTGTGCTAAAGCACACTACAACTCAATGCATCCTTTTTGGTAAATATCTCCTCTGTGATTTTGAAAGTTTTTCATGTAGCGATTGTTACAATTTGTTAATGATGTTATAGGCCAATAAGTATTGTTTATACTCTCATCAATATTATTATTGCTTGGGTTACATAGTTATTGGCAGATTTCTATTCTCATCAAATTTGTAGTTGCAATTTTCAGTTAGAGTTCTGAAAATGGTCAAGAGGAAGATTACTGGAGATTTTCCTTTTATGATTCTCATATTAGAAGTGAACTGAAGGTAGAAATAACTAAAAATGTTACATAAGTTAGAAAAGTTATTATGCTAAAATTATTTAATGTTTAGATTTAGTGATTAATAGTAGAGTCTTGACTAGTTTACATGAATGTATATACTATATTGATGTTACATGATGATCATTCAGTTATAAAATTATAGTACTTTCCTTTTCACATTGTTGTATAATGATTTGAATTGTTTGTTTGAAACTTAATCTCCTGTTATCTACCACATTTATAAATAAAAATATAAATTTTTGGTATAATTAATTTTAGCCAGAAATCTATTTATTTTATAATAATTATTATTATTATTTGCCACAAGCAGATGTTTGTGGCAAGTAGTTTTACATTGAGCTTTGGATATGAACCTATATGCTTCAATCTTATCTAATTTAGCTATAGAATTCAAATTTTTTTGGCTAAATAATAAAACAGTTTGCTATGAGTGTTGTTTTCGTAGCTAAAGAGTGAAGCAGTTTGGTATGGGTTTAGTTTTCGCAGCTAAAGAATAAAACATTTTGCTGCAAGAATATTAGTTTTGTGGCAAAAGTTTTAAAACATTTTGCCACGTACTTATTGTGCTTGTGGCAAGAAATATTATTCTTAGCTATGGAACAAATAAATCCCATGGCTAAAAGACTTTTAGCCACTCCATTTCTAGGCACAGCAAGCTACGGGAAATATTTTTATGGCTAAACCGTTTAGTTACGAGATTTTCACTATTTAGCTATAGGATCTCTTAAAGCTGGAGATGTAAAATGTAGTAGATTAGATAAATGTGTGGGTGATATGTGTAAGTAAATCATAATTTTTTTTGTTAATGTATCACAAAATCAATTGTTAAATTTAATATTTTATTCATGTGTATAATACTAGGTCAGATTCTAAATTAATGAAAATTTTGGATTTTATAATTTCATGAAGTTTCAGATTTTAAATTAAATTAAATATGCATTTTTGTTATTAGACAGTCTATGGAAAAGTTTAAGATATGATTGTTACTTTTCTAATTGGTCAATTTTTAGTTAAATTTAATGTCAAAAAATTTCATTGATTATACTCTTAATATAATATTTAAGATACAAGTTAAAAAAATTCTTTTTAATTTAATTCTTCTGCCTGTGGTGTCAGCACGTTGGCCAGAGGTGTGCATACTTTGCTTATTCAAGACAAACTTCAAGAAATCAAGGCACATCTCAACAATCTCCCTCTTGACCTAAATTTCTTGAATACTCCCTTTTCATTTTGGCCTTCTTCCACGTGCAAGCAAACCACATCGGCCACCTTGCTATCTTATGTTGAGATGGTTCATGATACAGGCTAAGATGTGCAAGACCTATATTAGGCGATCCATAGGAAATCATCATTAACTCAAGGTAGGATTCGAGGAAGGATCCATGGGATCCATGGGATCCATGCATCTCCTTAAACTATCATCAAGCTTCACCTCATTGTTGAAGCTTAGCTTCTTCTTGACTCCATTGATTTCTTTCTTCAAAATTCCTCTAGGCTTCCACACCATCTAGCCTATGGTGTCTTGGGTCTTCCATTGGCACATTGATCAAGCACATCGATGTTATGCTTGTTCTTCTTCTCACAAGTGACTAGCCTACCTCTTTTGTAGACTCTACCCCACTCATTATTGCTAGTGAACCTATACCTACAAGAAGCCAACTAACCTAAAGCAAGGATGTTAGACAAACACTTAGGCACATACCTCACATTTTTGAGAGTCTTGGTCTTCCCATTGTGATCATGGAGTCAGACATCTCCAATGCCTTCAATGTTCACCTTCTCACTGATAACCATAGTCACTTTACCAAGATCATGTCTCATCATGTTCACAAAGAAAGTAGAGTCATTGCAAATATACATGGATGTCAAAGAATCCATCACCCACTTTGAGTTGTTACCATCTTCTTTGGGATCATCTTCCATTATGGTGTAAACATCACTCTCATAGTCTTCAACCATGTTTGCCTCTTCTTGCTTGCCATTAGCCTCTTGACCTTTCATATGTTCTTATTTTCCATGTCTTTCTTGAGCTTTGGACAATAGGATTAGAGGTGACCCATCTCATCATAATAATAGCAATTCTTCTTGGATTTGCCTCTCGATTCTTCTTTTCCCTTAGATTTGTCTCAAGATCCATTACCTCAAAAACCCTTCTTAAACTTCCTCCCCCAATACTTGCCTTCATTGACAAGAGCTCTATAATTATATTCATGTATCCTATGCTCTTTCCTTCTCAATTCCTCACTAAGAATGCTATTTTTCACCAATTTGAGAGACATCCCTCCATCCCTACTGGAGTTATTCAATATACCACCATGGTCTCCCAACTATCCATAAGAGAACTTAATAGGATTTAGGCTGACACTTCATCATCTAAAGGAAGTTTTGTAGTAGTTTATTGATTCAAGATATCTTGAAAATTCCTTAAGTGTTCAGTAGCACTCTTACTTTCTTGGTGCTTTAGATTCACCAACTTATGAATTAGGGAGGCTTTATTTTGTGCATTCTTGTGCTCAAACAATTCTTCTAGCTTCTTCCATAATTCATAAGAGTTGATGACTTGTGCCACATGATGGATAACACTTAAGTCGATTCACTTGCATATCAAGTTGCAAGCCCTTCTATCCATCTTTTCCCAATCCTCTTGTTTGATAGATTTGGGTTTGGCTCCCTTCCTTTTGATAGGATCAAAAAAATCCTTCTAATATGGTGAAATCTTCCATCAAGGTCTTCCAAATTATATAGTCGGAGGAGTTGAGTTTGATCATGGTTGCACCATCATTCTCATTCACCATCTTTGCTAAGTCAATCCCAAGATTCAACCTTAAGCTGTGACACTAATTGTACTAATTGTTGAGAATTCTATCATAAATAAAATTCCTTACTCAAGTGGAAGCATAAAATCAACACAATAATTTAATGTGGAAAAACCCCAAAGGGGAAAAAATCATAGAGAAAAAATAATCCACTATTAAGAAGAATTATAAGATTAGAAAACCCTTCTCAATCTGCTCTAAGAATTCATAATTTCTCAAAGAACTCTCTCTTAATCTCACTAAAATTTTCTCACCCCAATTAAACAAAGCTCTCGCTCACCCAAAATGTTTCCCCTAGCCTCCACTAATTCTCTCATACATACAATCTTAGGGTTGCCTCTAGCATATATTTATAACAAGTTCAAGTGGAATTTGATTCTCATTAGAAGTTCAAATTCAACCCTTAATAGGAGTTTCCATATTTGTTGCAAGATCTTCAAGATTACCTAAATTTTTTATTCAATCCCTCTTCAATTAGAATTTTAAAATTGACTTGAATTATGAACTTAAAAGGGTTAAAATCTTAATTTGGTCCCTCTATTTTAATAAAAAGGTCTTTTAATCCCTTTACTTAAGAAAATCTTTTTTTAGTCCCTAAAGTTTATTATTAGACTCCATTTTAGTTTCTCTGTTATCTTTTTATATATGTGATGCATTAAATGATAGAAATTTTAAAGTAAATGAGCTAAAAAGGGACTAAGAAAATTCCTTTTTGATTTCTCTACTTTAATAAAAAATTCCTTTTTAATCCATCTACTTTAGAATTTTCATTATTTAACATGTTAGATATAAAAAAAAGATAATGAAGGAACTAAAAATGGGTTAAATAATAAATTTTAGGGACTAAAAAAGAGTAATTTTAAGTAGAAGGACTAAAAAGGAGTTTTTTTTATTAAAGTAGAGAAACCAAAGAGTTTTAACTATTTGAAAACATATTGCAAATTTCTTATCAAAGTGTTGATACGTTACCTTTTGATGTCGACACTGTGGTGTCCGGAACAGCACCCATCGGACTTCCAAGTGCGGCTGTGGAACCTCTTCGGCTAATGCTTCACATCTCTCTTGTGGTATTAGCACCTTGGCCGGTGGTGTCAACACTTTGTTCAATACAAATTTCAACTTCAAGAAATCAAGACATATCTTAGCAAAATGAGTGTTGGATGGGAAGCAGTTTGGTTTGCACTGTTTTGGAATATTTGGATTACGCACCATTTACCAGGAATAAGAAGTTATTCAATAATAGGGTGCTAGACATTACTAGAATATTTGATTTGGCACAGATTGGGTCCTTTCATTGGTTGTCGTACAAAGGAAAGACATCTAGGATGTTCTTTTCAGATTGACTCCTAAACGCTCAACCATATTTTTAAATTAACAGTATTCATGGGTTGAAGGAAATGAAAAAGAAGGGAGGGGAGGGGAGGAAATTTTTTCTTTAATTTTTTATTTATTTATTTTAATTTATCTAATATTCAAATATGGGAAATGGAAGGGAGAGGAATGGAGGAGAATGAAGAGATATAATTCCTCTTCCCTCCCTTCCTCTCCACTTCTTTTCTCTTTCCTTAAACCAAACGTAGCGTAATAGAATATTACAAAAATGCCTATTTGAGGTGCTTGTTAATGGTTTTTATTATTGTCTTGTACTCTTATTATGGGTTATAAGTAACTCATTAATAAACTTTCTTTTCAAAAAAAATAAAATAAATAAAACATCAAATGTTTTTTAGATCAACTCACCAGGAGTAGCAAGATTAAATTACTTTAATAAATCTAAATATATTATATATTTTCTTAAAAGTATAGAGACCTTCGATTCACTATTAGATTAAGACTTTATAATTGCCAACTTGATAAATTTATAAAAATATGAAATGTAAAGGTGTAAGGTCTAGGGTGAAAAATAAGAAATTAAGCATGGTTAAGTCAATTACTATTATTTCCACATACAAAAGCTCCCTTTTATATATTGTGGATGTATAGATAATATAAATATGGATACTAATAATTGAGAGAAAATTAAGATTTGATACAATCTTGATTTGATTTGATTTTTTTTTTTAAGTGTCTTTAATTGTTTCTATCAATTGTCCAACAAATATAGAGAAAGTTATATTTTCTAATACAACTAAAAAGGAAGATAAGAGAATTAAACTAGACATATATATAATAGTTGCAAGGAGGTTTTATCAAAATATACTTCATTTGGTTTAGAAATCAATATTTATTTTTAAATTTAAATATTCAAGAGTAATTTTCATTTATATATATTTAATGGAAGCAATTTTCATTTATACATATCAAAGTATGCAACAAATACAAAAGACAAATTTACTAGAAAAGTAACATAAATTGCGTTATTCTACTTCTTGGACTAGATTGTACGTTGTAATTCATCATGAAACATAAGATTGCCCAGCCCATGGATATCGGTCACGCTAAACAATAGTTGCAAGAGTATGGAATATAAAATTAAGGCCAACAAAAAGCCAGACAATCGAGAGGAATTCAATGCCTTCTCCTAGTTGCTTAACGTGACTAATGTGTTGACTTGAAATCGCTGCGTAGACAATGATTTCTATCCAGACATCCCTAATCATCCTCCATTTATTTTTTGATTTCTTTAACGATGTGACTAGTTTGGACACATCTCTCTGTAGGTTCTTAAATGTCATCTCACTGCAGCTTGAAAAAAATAAATTAAAAATAAACAAAACTACTTTAATTCTAATTTTATAACTCTGAGAATAAGAAATTAAAAACATCAAACCTGGATTTAATCCCATCTCCCTGTAGGTTTTCCACTGCTGACTCACTGCAATTTGAAAAAGAATGAATTTTAGAAAGAAACAAAATTATTCTTTAATGAATTTTATTTTTTTCTATGAAAATAAGAAATTAATAAAAACATCAAACCTAGATTCAAGCTCCTCTTCATCACGAACATTATCTCGATTAGAAAGTAATGTCGAAGCAGCATTTGTTATATCATCAGTTGCAGAAAACAAAAGTTCTTTAAGTTCGTCATAAGCATGATCAAGCCAAAAATTCTTGCTGTGGTCGGGCAATATCATGGCAGGACACATGGCCAGCAGGTACATCATGTAATCTGATACAAGTTTACTGGTTTCCATGGCTTCATTTTTATCATGATCCTCTTCCCGGGAGCAAACACTGGCTTGATCATCATCATGATCCTCTTGTAAGTAGCAGACACTTGTGGCAAGGTGCCATATTATGATGCTATAATCAAAGTCCAATTCAATGCTCCAACGTAGATTATCATATTGCTCGTTGTCTTTTAGTGCTATTTTTCCCCTTGAAGGCCAGAAGGATTCGCTCACTAAGAACGATGTAATAGGTTTCATGAAATTCCCTATGTCCTCTAAATAACTTGGAACTGGAACAAACTTAGTGAACATGCACTTGTGCAACATTTCTATAAAATCATTGCCATTGGTGATCTTTCGTAGAATGCCACGTGTGTATGATTGGTTCACCTGCTTTTTCTTGTAAAGCCAACAGTATTTCAACAGATCAAATTGGCCAATGTGATTTGACCACCTTTTCCTTCGATGCAATAACCAACGGAAGCTCTTTGAAGCGGCCCAAAACATTTTGCGTACCAACATATTGTGATGAAATGCAGCAACAAGAATTGCCCAATCAGAAGAAAGCATTAACCATGCTGCATAAAGTTCCAGTGCAATAGCTCCAGTCAATAAGATGCCCGTTATGGCAAGATCAACTCTTGAGAATTGGAATTTGGGCTCATTAATGATGCTGATGAAGAAGAGTAGTAGAACCAAGAAGGAGCTCACGAAACTGGTGAAGCGCAAAAAACATCCTAACTTGGTATAAATCAAAGCAGCTTTGGTGTAAACCACATCAAATATAAATTCTAGTTCAACAACAAATATGTCCAAACGCTGAGGTTGAGTGAATTCAAAAATATAGTCAAATTTCTGAAAAAGGTCAAGAGGGTCATCTATATTTGTAGTGTCCTTGACACAAGTTTGTAACCTTGTGAGAGCAGAGGAAACACTATGAAAGGAGAGGTAATCATTGACATCAGGTCTCATAATTGTAAACAATAGATAACCTCGCAAGACAGTTGGGTTATCTTTTAGAAGGTGATCAAGGGTTTGACTAAAATTGGAATGAGGATGACCTCGAGGATTAAAGATATCAGAAATGACTGATTTTGTTTTCTGTGAATTATTCAACTTGAGACATAATATCTTCTCTACATACTTAATAATTCCAGCTAAGATGAGAGGGAAACTCAAAAACGAAAGCCAGGAAAAGGTCCACGACAAACAAACGACATAAACAACAAAAATGGCTTTGACAATAAGGATGAGGAGGTGCCTAATCCAAAGCTTGTTATCTTCAAAAGCATAAGCTGTGATGGTGTCAGGACCACCAAGATGTAGCAAGAGTAAAGGAGCCCAATATGCTCTTAAAACATTGGTGGTGGGAGTTTCAGTATTGGAAATTGAAAGCTTGCCCAAAGTAGCAATGGCAATCCAGTCAGCACCTAAGTAGGCAAACCATAGAATGATTTTGAAGAAAGGTTTAATCGTGTATTTCCTCCGGCTACCTAAGATATAGAGGACAATTTGTAATGTGAGACTAAAAAGAACCATTCCCCTCACGTCCCATTTCTCCCACACTTCCAGCAACAACGTTGAAAATGAACTTGCAATTGAGCTTGACTTCCAACTGTTTATAAATAAATAAAATAAATAACTAAATTGTACCAAAAGGAAAAATAAAGATGCTCTTTTCTATATATATATTTTTCCAAGAAACAAAAGCAAATTATGTATGAGAGAAATTGACAAAAGTGTTGCTGGTTGGGTAGAAAGTGCTGGAACATGAATTCTTATATATTAATAGAAAATTTTTGAATTAAATTAAAAAAAAAAAA